TTTATGAATCATAAAATTGAAACGGCCGGACCTCGAGGTAGCCGGTGGAGGGTTGACATGGGCCACGAGGTCGTATCGACCCACGTAGTCGTCGTGTATAGAGACCAGCTTGACCGGATGATAGACGGCGAGGTATCAAATTTAAATACCTAAATTTTAATTGTCATATGGAGTGTATATGTTCATGAGCGATTTTTAATAGACTTGTCGTTATTGTAGTTTATCTGGCAGTCTTATGCTGAGGTCCTTGATACGCTCCCAGAATATTGCCGACTAAGTGAGGAGATATGGATGGCGAGAGTGCCACTCACTTGTTTTGACGTGGTTGAGTGGCATCTCCCTGATCGTGTCCTCCGAAAGTTTGGTCGAGTCCAGTCCGTGCCGGATCGATGTGACACCGAGTGGCGGTTGTATGCGACTGATAGACATGGCCGACCCAACACTGACTGGAGTGTACATCATATGCGATACATACAGTTGTGGGATGCCCGTCGCGACACTATTGTACAGGCTGAGTGGAGCGATGGGGTCCTCCCCTCTCCCGACCCTTACATGTTGTGGTATCGGCGACATACACACCTACTTGTCGGTAATCCGAGCCACCTGTCTGAGGCCGGATATCAGGGAGTTGTTCAGACTCTGAGCCACCTGCCGATTTAAGCGCGAATTAGGTGTTAATGTCTACACTTCGGCAATATAACAACTTGCATTAATATGTAATGTCTGTGTTAGAGTAAGTATAACTGTTATGTTATGTTATGTTTATGTTTAAGTTTATGTTTATGTATTGTGTTTGTCAAATGTTACGGCTATTAATATGCAATATTAGGTCATGAATTAGGTGTTTGTCTATCTAACTGTTATGTTTATGTATTGTGTGTTCAGTTAAGAGTGTCCAGGATGTATGTAATGTGTGTTCAGTTCATGGTGTCCATAATATATTTTTGTGGGAGAATTATGTCTGTTCTACCTATGTAACTGAAAACTATTACATTTGCAACTTCAGTTATGTTGTTTTCATGCCTATATGAGTATTTTGTAAAGTACTGACTTCGTATATTATGTATTAAGTATTATTACAAAAATGTTGAGAAAATTTATTTTAGGAGCTCTCGCTGTGGCCTTTGTCTTCTTGGCCTACTCCGCGGTGGTCTTCGCGTCTCACCCTTCGTCGTTGCTCGTCGAGTTGCACAGCGTGTGGGTGTGCTTCGAACTGTAGAGCATGCATATCACATTCTAACCCATAACAAAGACGATACAAAAAAATAAATTTTATAAATGAAAACGGGTACAAAACGGTTTTACTAAACTGGTTTACTAAACTGATTTTCTGAATTACATTCTCACCTTCTAACCCAAAACAAAAGAATAAATATATATGTATGTTTAAATGAAAACGGCTTTCGTAAAGCCAAAATAATTTTCTAAATAACACCTTCCAACCCAAAACAAAGACAAAAGAAAAAAAAAAATTACATGAAAACGACTTTAGTAAAGCGAAAAAAAAAATTATTATTACATTATTCACCTTCTACCCAAAACAAACACAAAACAAAAAGCAAAAAAAAAAATTTACATGAAAACAAATTTAGTGAAGACGAAAAAAAATTTTGAATTACATTTTTCAAATCAAAACAAAGACAAAAGAAAAAATGAAAAAGTTAACATGACAACGGCCGTCAGAAAGCCAAATAAATGAACATGATTGGCTTAATAATATCTACATGAATATGATTTTGAAATTATATATATGAAAATAGTATGTAAAATTAATATATGAAAAGGTTTTTTTTTTCATATTATGTAAAATTTATGAATTACACATTCTAAACAAAAACAAAAACAAAAACAAAAGAAAAAAAAAAACATATTTTAACATGATAATGGCTTTAGTAAAGTCAAGTACTAAAATATACAGTGTAAATATATTTTTTAAAATATGTTTTACGTTTTTTTCTTTTGTTTTATCTTGAAAATAGCGTTTTATTCCAACAAAGTTTATGTTAAAAACGCTGGGCGAAAAAAAAAAAAATTCTGTTAAAATCGCTATTTGTAATAGCGTTTTCTGGGGAAAATGGATTTGGGTTAAAAGCGCTGTTCTTAACAGCGTTTTCCTTGGAAAAAAAATTAATCCTAGAAGCGCTATTTGTAACAGCGACTTCTTAATCAAAGTCGCTATTTGTAATAGCGATTTTCCTGTTCATCTACTTTTGCGCTCCTAACAGTAAAAGCGCGAATAGTAATGACGCTTTAACTTAGTTTTGGAATTCCGTCAGAAGTCGGCCTAGTTTTGAAAATACAATGTAAAAAAGGCTTATATTAGGAAAAGCCTCTCAATCAAATACCGAAAAATAAAAATAAAATATTTTTTTTATATATAAATAATTTAAATAAAAAATATTTTATATCAAAACAAATGAAATCTAAATGTGCAAGCGTACAAATAGTAAAATTAATGTAGAGTGTAATGGGGACCACACTAGAATTAAATTTGGTTATAAGTTTCAATTTATTTATTTATTTATTATTATTATTTTTTTGTAGTGCCACTTCTCTGTGTTTACATTTTTTAAAAAAAATAAAAATAAAAATTTAAATGCGAAGGACTGAACCATAATGAGTCAACTTGTAAGTACATGTAAAGCAAACGGCAGCATGGGACCCCGTGGATGTGACCCAAGTTAGCATTCATTTCATCATTTCATATTAGTAGGTTGGGTTTGATAATTTTATATTATTTTATTTTATGTTGTTTTGTTAATTTTTTTGTTTTTTTTATTAAAAAATATAATATCTTTGACAAAGTTAAAAGTTTATTTTGTTATTGAGAAAAATTGATTAAGAATTTTTTTCTCTTTTTATAAACTGAATAAGTTATTCCCAAATGAGTAAAGGGGAAACATCAAGAAATTCTAAGTTTAGATAGTTTAATTCATTTAGTCTTGTAATTTATTTTGTACACTGATTAGTTCCATGTCAATGTTAATTAATGTAACGTATGGATTGGCTGTTTGGAGGGGTATATTGGGTGTTTAGATAATGTTGTAGTTACCAAAAACCAAAAGTATATTATAGCATTCTTTTTCATTTTCCCTCTATTGCGAACAAAACGGAAGCTCAAAAATGGGAACGTCAACGTTTCCTTGACGATGTTGTAGTGTTGATCCTCAGTTTGTGTGAGTTGAACGCTAGAATTGGGAACGGTACACCCATAATTCATTATTCCCCAAATAACATTACAAAACCTCCAAAAAAACCCTAGAAAATCATAGAAATCCGTTTTATCAAATTTATAGAGGCGAAGCGGCGTGGGCACTGGGACATCTTGGAGTGCGATTAATATTGAGGACGTAACGTAGGCGATTTAAAATTAATCCGTCGACGGCATCGTTGATCATGTGTTAGTGCGATGACTAGAAGTATGGGTGTCTTCGATGTTAGTTTGGTTGTTTGTGGAACAATACGATGAGCTTTTTTTAATTGGTGCGTCATGTGGGGTTTGATTTGAGGTGATCTTGTTCACGTCGCAGGTTTGAGATTTACCATTGATTGCAAATGTAATGTTGTGCATGTTTGTAATTTGACAGACACATGGTTTTGTTGGTTAATGTTGTAATATTTTCACAAGTTTGGGGGTTACCAGTGATTGCAAATGTGATGTTGTGCATGTATGTAATGTAATAGATGCATGGTATTATAGCTAATGTTTGTATAATTATGTGTGTATTTTGTAATGTTGGGGGCTAGTGAGAGGATGTATGCTTGAAAGTGTTGGTAGGGTTTGGTGGTAGTAGGGGGCAGTGGCTGTTAATTGTTAGGGA